ATCCATCCATCCATCCATCCATCCATCCATCCATCCATCCATCCATCCATCCATCCATCCATCCATCCATCCATCCATCCATCCCCGTTTATCCATTAGGGTCATGGTGGGCTAATGCCAATCTTCAATAGTCAACAGGCAAAAGGCAAGCCACACTCTGGGTATGTCCCTGGTCTATTACAGGGCCATTCCAAAAGCCTTGATACAAAATGTCCTTACCATTTGGAAGCCATTAATCTGGCATTAGTATTATGACCATATCTAAAGGAGGATTCTATACAGTCAGGGCTGATGCTACAGACGGAGGATTACATAAAGTAGAAACCCATGCATTTACTCTCATGTGGGTTTGGACTCCAGTGTCATATAGTTCCTGTACCGTTTAACGATTGCCCTATTAAAGGTGGCAGCCTACCAATCATAGCCTAATCACAGTTTGCAATGTAGGATTAAAATCCTCTGGACCTCCCAGTCCCATTCAGCCAATAAAAAACCAGAGGAGTTTCAGTAGAGTAGTATGTATTTTCAAATTTATTGCGCTGTCCTATTTTAAGATAATCCTCTGGGAATGATGGGAACAAACAGTGATTCAATTTAAAGAACAGTCTTATTGACTCAGCTATTCCTTTAAGTACATGACCCTGTTTATCTGTAGACAAGCTGCCAGTAGTATGCGGACGCATTCAGATTGTAAATAATTTGATTAAAATGTTATAAATCACAGTCTCTTGGTAGGATGCACCTGTGCTAGTGGGGTCAACACTGTTTTTTTTCCAACTACAATTTCAAACAAGCCTTGCCATTTTTATATTGATAACCAAGACACATTTTCTAAGCTTTCAATATATTGGCTGGGTAAGCTTTTAAAATAAAGCATTAAAGTTTTAATTTAACTGTACACCTAAATAGTTTGAAGTAATGTTTCACATACTCAGGAGCTCTGGCCTTATGGCAAATGGTACCAAATTTTCAAAAGAGACCTGAAATCTTTAAAAAAACAAATGCAGCATCTATTATTTGCAGAAAGTATCATACATAGTCTATATGTGCATTGTTTAAATAAGCTTTAATAATCTACATCTTTGTGAGTGTATATAGAATATGTTTATTTAGTCAAACCTTTTTTTTTATGTTACACTATTGTGACTATTACTACAAACACCATTGCTATTGTGACGCTACATTGTGTCATGACATTTCAGTAACTGTATTGTGTTATCATGACCTTTATAGTGTTATATTGCATCATGCTGCACCATGTTGCTCTCTCTTCGATAATACTGTATTTTTCCGCATCATATTACATTTCCCTGAAAGTGTTCAGGGGCTCCATGCCTGTGTACTGCAGCCTTACTTTTGTTAGTAGGTTAATAGTACCCAGGATAGCTGTGGCTAAAATGTAGCTTGCCACCATTAGTGTTTGAATCTGTTTGTGAATGACTGAATGTGGCGTAAAGCACTTTGGATTACCCTGATTTGAAAAGGCGCTATGTAAGTACAGTACATTTACCATTTACTATATCAGACCATGTTTTGGTTAATTGCATAAAACAATCCTGCAGATTTTTATAACTGAAATTGTGTCCTTTAATAATGAATCATGTCCCTTTGTATTTAATTATATTGCAGGGTATAACATTGACCTTTATTGTATCATGAATTATCATATTTTATCAGGTATTCAGCATCATTTTATATCATGTCATATTTTGGGTTATTCTATGGAGTTGCATGGTATTCTGTCACATTATGTATTTTATTAACCTTTGAATGGCCTCTACTTGTATAGAGCTTTTTTAAGTCCAAGGACCCCAAAGCCTGCTACATTGCATTTAGTCATTAACACACTGACTGCGGCAGGGGACATTTTAGCCACAGCTGCCTTGGAGCAGACTGTCAGAAGCAAGGCTGGCATGCAATCGGAGCTACCAGGGTCTCTGACCATAGACAGAAGGAAACGTAGGAGAAGTGTTTTGCATAAGGACACAGAGATGGAGCAAGGGACTTGAAATGTCAACCCGTATACCTTCATAGACATTTCAATTCGAGCATTTTTTTCAATTTTAAACCATTGGGCTACAGATAATGTTTGAATTTGCTGCTTTAACATCTTCATATAAAACTCTCTTCAAGAAAGATTTTAACAGGGTTTAGGAGTCTGTGAGATTTTTTTTTTCTAATGTGCTTCCTGGATAACATTTATAAGGTCAGACACTGATGATGGGTATGATGGCCTGGCTCGTAGATTTTACTCTTATTTATCTGAACAGTGTTCTGTCACTATGAGTTCAGGCTATCATGCTGAGTATATGTCTATAAGTTCATTTAATCTCATGCATTGTATAGTGTAATATCATAGCATATGATATTATCATCAAATTGTATTGGTTTGTGTCATTCTAGTGTGATGTTTTTGTTTTAATATCTCTTAGAAATATTTAAAAAACAATCCACTGAACTTAGTTTCTAAGTTTAAAGACATTTCCCTTCCTGTCTAGGAAGATTTTCAATTCAAAATGTCAGAATTAGCATTGAGTTTGAGGCTTTATTATGTGGACCAAAACAATGCATTGTTTTGGCTTAGAAAACATGCAAATTGAACCGGAAGAACGGGTCCATCGTTAGGAATGGGGAGTCGTCACCGACAGGTTTGTACAAAAGTTGTGTTTTTATTTCTAAAGCAGAATAATAGAAATGCCTTCAAAATTCCTGACAAAATGTTTAGATATAAGCTCATCTTCAGAAGTTATTTTCCACTCCTTTTAAAGACTGAGGGAAGATATCATTAATGATACAATTCTACCAATATGAACACAAATAACAATATATGGTGAGCAACATTTCCATTATAGCTCATTTCATAACTTATTATAGATGTACATTTAGATTGTTTTTTTGTATTCTCCTCATGCATCTTTAAAAAGGAGCAAGTTTTCAGTAATTGATTTAAATCATTATTTTTTCATTTGATGACATCAAAACTCACCTATTTGAATTTTGTACAGTAAAGCTGACAGATATTGTGGGATTTATATGAGGAGACAATAAATGCCCTACAGAGCATCTAATAAACAGAAAAGGTCATGAAGCCATCATTTTGTTCCACAGAACATTCGTAGAAGTCCAAGATACAGCTACAACCAGCTAACAACATTAAACATCCTTGCAATCCATCACCTACTACGGTAAAAAAGAGATTTACAGTAGGAACATTTGATTTTCAAGAGCAGAGTACAGTAGACAGTATTACAACATCACTGCACACCTAAAAGCTCCCTTTTGAGATGTAGAAGACAATGTTTTATTCAGAGCTACAAGCTTTCTGTCCAGCAGTGATGTGCACGTTGATAGCACATGGATAATTTTTGCAGGTTTTGATGTCGAGAGATACTAACAGCCACTCTGAGCCATTTAAGACCAACCCTCTCAATCATGCATTAACATAAACACAAATAAAACATCATCAGTAACAAGTAAAATCACAAGAGCTGAGGCAGGTGAAAAAACAGGGAGGTGGGACATGTGAATGCAAACCACAGAGAAAATCTGTCTCCTCTGTTGAGATTAACAGATCTATTTTGGGAGCAGCATTGCTGGGAGAGGACATTTTATTGTGCAAACAGAAAGCAACAGAGTAAGATGAATTTTATTTGAATCTTTGTGTTGCTTCTTTAGTGGCTAACATACCCACGCCTTTGTTTTGATCTCACAGATGACTCCAACCATCAAGTCATTTTTATCTGTGTGCCAATCAGAATCAAGCCATACCACCCACACTTAATTAAATAAGCACATAAATTGTAAGCCTTCTGGCTGACTGTGAACAAAATATTTTGTATATTAAAACTAAGGAGCTTTCCAACCATGAAACACAGTCTGACCTTTGTTGCTAAGTACAGCTTCCCTTCAGGTGTTTAGACAACCTGTGGAAGTTTCCTTATACTCACCACTCATGCTGGGGCTCATCGATGACCAGCAGAATCTTGAACTTCTTAGAGAGGGACGGAGAGGGGGCTGACTGCTCCACAAAGCCAGCGGCGGAGGCGGCCGTCTGTTTGACCACATTGGTGATCGAGCTGAAAGAGCTGAAGAAGCCTGAGGAACCGCCAGAGGAAGAGGACGGCTGGGCCTGTTGGGGCTGCTGAGCCAGCTGGGATGGGCGGCGCTCCTGTGGCACGGGGGAGCTGGCAGGCGCTTGGGATGGAGCAGGAGCTTTGGTTGGGGAGTGGGCAGGGACAGAAGCTGTGGCAGGGGCTGCACCTTGCTGAGAAGGAGAAGAGGCAGTGGGGGGTGGAGGAGCAGGGGGGTCAGGCCTCTGAAGGTCTGACATGTAGCCATTGGGCAGGTTGGACATGAAGCTGCTGTCGGAGAGACGGCGCCGGAGGAAGTTCATGATATCGCTGCTTGAAAGGTGGGTCTCTCAGTGGACTGTGGATGTCTATCTCCTGACTGGACGCCTCCTGATGTCCAAGCTGAATGGTGAAGGCAGAGTAGATCAGAGGTTAGATCAATGACAGAGAAAACAAATCAGTCCAAATGATTGAGGGATGCGTGACAGAGAGCTTCCTCTGTGTTTGATGGAGAAGCAGGAACTGAGGAGAGATGTGAGCGAGGATGGGAAAAGTTCTGGTCCAGTCTTCACGCGACAACTCCCACAGCAGCAGAAACAGCAGCGTGTGTGTGTGGTGTTTCTCCTCCTGAGCCTCACGCCTCCTGGAAATGCGTGTTGGTGACGTAGGAGAGTGTGTATCTGAGAGAGGGAGAGAGGTTTGGTGTCGCCCCCTTTAGAGAGATGTTGGTGTTCTCCCTCCTCCTTCCTTACTTCCTGCCTCCTGAGCTGCTGCAGGCTGAATGCTTGGAAGAGATGCTGCCGTCTCTGTGTATCTCAGCCTCTCATTGGCTCCCTCTGCCCTTTTTCCTCTAGCTTACTCTCACTGAGCCACTCGCTGCCTCCCTCTCTCCCCCTCCTCCTCCACCTCCATCCCCCTCCTCTCTCCCATCATCATCCTCCTACATCACAGACAACGTTCAAGTGTCGTGCTGCAACATTGTAACGCTACGTGCCGTGTGCAGCCAATGGAGGGGGTTTCCTGCACGCGCGCTTGAGGTGGAGCTCACAGTTGGAAACACCATCCATCACGCTCCACAAGCCCCACCTTCTCCTGCTGCCATCCTTTCATCTTTTAGCCGTTGGCTCAACATGTCACATCTCTTTTATGTACAATCAGTGAACTCTGTCAATGTTTTCTTATAAATGATGCATTACTCTAACCTTTATATACTATGCCTGACACAGGACCTGCCAATGAAAGTGATTTGACTGCTATGTTTGTCGTCGTCTTCCTTGTCTTTTATTTATCTCTCTGTCTGTTCTCTTAATTCTGTCATTCTAAAAGTCTTCTTTGTGATGATAATAAATAAAAGAATAATAAAAAGTTGAATTTATCAATGCAATCTTTTTATGTTTTTTTTGTGGTGATGAATGTGTCCTCACTCAGGGCCGGATTTATCAAGATCCAATTTTGCGTGCAGTAATTTG